TTTTTTTTAAATACTGCTTTATATATTTTAGTTGTCGTTTGAGTGATATAATGTGTTTTCTTGGTGTTTTTGGCATTATTCTTATGTCTATTGTCAATGAAATAGAATTTCACCAAATCAATGATAAATATGCTAAACTTAGTTGGTTTATCAAATTAACTATTACTTTATCAACGATTGTTCTTATTGGGTTAATATTCTATTATCATCGTTTAGATATAACTCTCAATTCTATTAATAACTCAATTGGTAATTACCATATTACAATAACATACACGAAAATATTCTTTATTGCAGTTGAAATATTAATTTGCGCTATACATCCTATACCTCGCTCGTTTCCTCTTCATTCGAATACATCACTAGAAAACATAAGTTCGAATTCAACAATATCTACTCATGATACTTTTTCTACGGCTATCGATATTCTACTTGGTGTGCCAAGTAAGTATCAATTTCTTGTTTCTCCTTATCAGATTTTACAATCGAGTAAATTAATAGTGTTTGCTCGTCTTTATTTGTTTGGTCGTGTTATCATGTTTCACTCTCATCTATTTCGTGATGTATCACTACGATCCATTGGTTATCTTAATAAAGTATCAATTAATTTCTTCTATCTTATGAAAACTCATCTTGAACGATTTCCAACACTTTGGTTAACGGCATTTTGTGTAACTTTCTGTATTATTGGAAGTTGGTGTTTACGTGCATGTAGTTACTTGCCAAATAATCAACATTTATCAGTGGCCGATTCAATGTGGTTATTCATTGTGACATTTAGTACAGTTGGCTATGGAGATTTGACACCTTCTTCATACTGTGGACGAAGTAAATCAATAATAATTCAGAAAAAAAAATAATAAAACAAATATTTTCACTTTTCATATCTGAATAAAGCTTTCATTTTTCTTATTATTATTAGGCATTGCTGCTATAATCGGTTTGGTTGGTGTCTTTTCAACGGCTCTTGTTATTGCTGTTCTTGCACAAATGCTTTTGTTGAATCGATGGGAAAAATATGTGCATAATTTTGCATTGCAGGCCGAATTAGAGAAAGAACGTAAAACACAAGCTGCAAATATAGTTAAATTTACAATAAAAGTTTGGTTTTTGAGAAACAAAAATAGATCTGAATTATCTATTCGATATCTTCAGGCACAACGGAAACTATTTAATTCCATAGATTCTCTTCAAATTATTAAACAAAAACAACGACAATTAATCGACCATTGTGTTGATCAAATTGATATAATTACTATACAACGTAGTACAAATGATAAAACATGTGAAATTTCGAAGCAATTAACATTCCTGAAAACTAAAATTGATAACATGGAAGAGAAACTTGTTGAGATGAATATAAATATTAACAATACAATGAATGATATACAAAAAACACTTCATATGTTGTTGGATAAAGTTGAAAAATAATCTATTAACTATATAGTTTATTTGTTCTTTTTTATAACAAATTTAATATTAGACTTGTTCGTACTAATTTGATCTTGTTTATATTTTTAATTTTATGTTTTTTCATATGAAATAATACTAATATTTACTTAAAATGTCGATTGGTATTCGTCCATTGAGATTAATAACAAAGCTTGTCAGTACAGCTCCTTTGGGGGTGACATGTGGAACTCACATATTTCATATAAGTTTGAATACTCGACGACTGTAAAGCTAGTTACTATGGTCTGTAATGGGGAGGGAGGTGCCGCAAAAAACTTGAACTTAAAACTTATACTCACTATTTTTCTTCGAAAATATATATGAGTTCCACAAAAGACTATACTTTTTAATCTACAATACTTTTCTAACTTTTTGCATTTTGCAAAAATAATAGTTATAAACTCAATACTGTAATAATAAAGGAATCCTGTTTAACATGTTTTATATTTTTTTTCGTACTCTTTAATCATGCTGAAATACATTTCTGATATATAGTGTTACCTATTACATTTAATGTCTACTCATATGATTTGTACCGAAGGAAAATCATCATGTTAAGATGTTTTTTTGTGTCAAGTTATTGTAAACTTGTTGTTATTACAGATTCAGAATACATACTTAATAATAGCAACAATAATAAATAAACAAACCTAAAGATATATAGATCCAATGAAGAAAGAATACATAAATTTATATATCTAGAGGAGAAGAAGAAAAAAGAAACGACAAAGCGGGTGGTATCAAGACAGACAATATACATGACCTTGTGTACTAGCACAAATCATAACATATCAATAGACGATTCAATATAATGTGCGATATAACGATGGTTAACTGATGGTATTCATTGGCAATGCAGAAAAGCTGTCAGTATTTCGAAAAAGTCAACCGGCAGTACTTTGCTGCTTAAATGGTTGACAATCTTCTGAATTTCAATCTACAACGATAGTGCAAGCGAATTTGTAATATAATTAGCTGATAAAACTCATCATTTTGTCTTTTATCGAGACTTCTATCATCATCTTCTAATAAATGCTTATTATCGTATTTTGCTAATCGACAACACATAAAATAAAAGTCGAGAGAAAAAGTTACATTATGCACAAATTATCGTAAAAGTTTGTTGGAATAAAGGTACACGTGATTACCTATGTAAAAACAACGGCCAAATATCAGGTTAAAATCAATTATTTCTGAATTAAAAATCGATTAAAGTAACAATATTTTAATTTTATTTTAATTAGACTTTTCAGCCTTAAAGACAGACTTCATTTAATTTTAATCCTTTTTAATAGATTATTAAAATTAAATGAATTGTAACTAATTATAAGAAATCGATTTTAACTGTTTAAAGTGCGCTAACGATTAGGATGGTGTGGGTGTGTATATGGCTGTGAGTGTGGATACGGAAGAAGAGAAGACCCACACTCTACACGAATCACTAGAGGAAAAAAGTAATAATTCTTTAGTATATGACAAAATTGATTGACATGTATCATAGCATTTATATGGTACATTTTGATAATGTATGAAAACTATATTGGATTGAAAACAGTTATATCTTTTTGTATGATGCAATTCATTTAGAATGTTAAGTCATTATATGAGAGAATAACTAAATTTGTTTTTCATCAAAATATTCAAATATAAGTCAAAATTCTATTAAACTGTCAGAGTACATATTATAAAGCATAGCATCCGTTACCAACAATCTAGTAGTTGTGATAGTAAACATTCTTCATTAATAGTAATGATTGTAAGAATATTTTCAGATATTGTCTTAGAGTTTCAGGCGGCAAAAAATGTGAATAAGTAAATAAATATGATGAATTTTTTAATAGTAGAGTATAAATATTGACTAAAAGTCAGTAATATATTCTATTTTGAACAGATCTAGTCGATATTTACATATAAACATTTTAAAATCAATTAAAATTTATTTTTCGTGAGCGAACAACTGTAAAAAAGAAATTATTAAAGTCGACAATGAAGTTTAATAAATAAGATTTCCATTGTCGATATATTGAACGAAAAAGTCGAATAAGAGTTTGACGAAATAAAGCTCCAGTGAGTGTATAAATGTAAAAAGGAATACTATTTCCAACATATGTAAGAGAAAAATCAAAATTAATAATAAGATTTTCTATTGCATAACGAAGTGGACTCTTGATTATAGAAATACTAAAGGTCAAATAAAATTGATGGATCGCTTGTGGCAATGAAAGAACAGTTAAGAGAATAACTTGAAGAAGAAGCATCCCAGTAAGAGAACTATTATTAGGCCGTGGTTTTCTTCGTTTTGTCGCATTCATTGAATTGATATTCGAAACCATGTTAATATATGGTGTGATAACTCGAAGTGATCGACTTATATTATGAATTGTTAAAAAACCAAAGATTAACATTAATATTGATGGTACAATAACAGTTGAACATGCATATACAACATCATTAAATATTCGACATGTTGATGTCATTCCGTAACATTTAAGTGGAGCTTCAGGAAGGCCAGTATTATAACAATAAAGAGATTGTGTCCATAAAAGAAATGATAATACATAGACAACAATAATACTTTTATGTGCAATTCGATGACAACTTAAAAAACGTCTTTTTACTCGTACACTACTTACGAACCATCGATCCATAGTAGCAAGTACAATAAGCCAAACTGATGTTGTACGAAATCCATAAAGAAGAAAAATACGTAATTTACAAAGTAAAGAATTTGTATTTGTTGGATCTGTTGATATCCATCCAGCTATAAGACGTGTTGGTAGACCAACTAGAATTATTCCAAGACTTGATATAGATGAACCAAGAAAGTAGAGTACACATGGATTAGAACGTAATTTTGCTTGTGCTAGTACTATTGTATTTAATGAATTTCCAATAGTACCAAATATAAAGATGAATAATGTCATATAAGCATTAACTTCTGAAGAAATAGAATTGATTAAATTTAAAGTGGAAGAATTCGTTATGTTTGACATAGTTTAAGTAATAGATCTGAAACAAAAAATATATATAATGTTTTTTTTCTCGTAAGCGAAAAATGCTTGACTTCAATCGTCGAGATTTCTTCATGGATGAAAGCACTTTTCCTTACTGTGTTGTTTATTAAAAGTAAATAATAATTACGTTTTCTCTAGATCTGATGCTGAGAAAGAAAATTTCGCTAGAAAAATATTTTTTAATTATATGAAAGTGAACAATATTTATCTTAATGATCAAATTTGTTTAATTAATAATATAAAAATATATAAATCATCAGAAAGTAGTCAAATAGGAATTTGATTCATAAGAAAATACAAATCGACATTAAAAAGTATTCAATTATTCAGAAATTATTTTTAAATATAATCATTAATATTCATAATGCAATAGATAATACTAAACTGACATTTCATGGAAACAAAATATAATTTTACTTAATAGGCTAGAACATAAAAATCAACCTAAAAGGTTTACTAGAAAAAAAAAAGTTGACATTGTATTGTGGAAGTTTTACTATCTTCATAATTTGATGGCGATAATGAAAGTTAGTAATGACGTCAAAAACAATCATTTTCATGTAATCAATTTTCTTTTTCAAAAAAAAAACACTCAAATATGTAACTTCAATTCTATATTTTAAACAAAGTATCGAAGTTCAATTACCAAATGTTTGTATACTAATAATAGATGTTTGAAATCAGGAAACCATGGTGTTGTAGTGAAATGAAATGCATTTTATCTAATAGGAAAAGATAAAGAAATGTATGAATAATAATTATTAATGTGCTGTCAAAGTTTTTTTTTAATCCATTCTTTTGTTAGTTAACAATAGTCGCAAGAAAGATTTTCATACTTGGAATATATTGAAAAAAAAAAGAGTACTTTTCAAATTATATAAAAGCATGTCTTTTTATTACTTTGTAACGTCACATAAAACTAATGAAATATATAGAAAAATTGAATTTAAGACCACTGTCTAAATGTGATGACTGCAACATATAATTGCATGAATTTCCTTTTTGAGTGTTGATTAAAAATGAGAGACGGTTTATGTTTCAGTTTTTTGAACCGGACAGAATGGAATCTTATGTTTGATATTAGTACAATCGTATCAGAAAGTCTACAAACAAGTTTGACAGAAATTCAAGTATAGTCTTATGAGATTTTGGGTTTTGCAAACAAAATATTTTCGATGTTTGAAAAATATGCCTCTAAATATGATGAATTATTGATGACTAATGGTCTGTCATATGTTGATATACAATATTGGACAATTTTGTTTGGAATATAACTATCTTATTAAGTTAGCTTTTGAGACACGGCTCGCGTCATAATCGTGAAGAGTAGTCGCTTTCTGTTGGACGATGCTTTAACTTGAATTTTTTTTCCACAAATGTTCGAAAAGGATTGAATCTATATCAATGGAAAGAAGAGAAGAAGAACTACATTTTGATAAGTAAAATGTTACAAAAGCAAAATGTCTATGAAGACAAATGTTTTTTTTTTATGACAGACAACTAACAATGTTCATTGTGAACTCGTTATCGTTTTTATATAATAAGTAATTTTTCTTTTCAAATATCATACTCGAAAGAGCATCAGATGCTACATACGACAACAGATAATTTAAAGTTTCACGAAAAATGTTTTCTGATTTCGAGAGGTTATTGTCTGAAAAATTTGCAACGTCTGACGTCTCTTTCGAGTATGATATTTACAAAGAAAAATTACTTATCACATAGAGTATTCAAAAAGTTCTTGGAACTTTGGTGTATCTATTTATGGAAAGATCATTCCAGCCATGTTTCTATGCCATATATTCGAGGTAGTTCCCAAGTGAGAAAAAAATAAGGAAGGGGATGCCCGACATGACTAGTCGAAAATGTCCACACTACCCGTCAGGTGCAGTCTAAAACGTCTTTTCTGCCCATCAGGACTGATCCTCTGTACAAAGAAGGTCCTATTCAACTATATCTGGACTAATCTGAAACATCTGTAAATCTAATCATGTCTAGTACATTTTTTTTTTCGTTAATCCTGTTCAGACTAACCAGTAGCACAGAAAAATAATCAAAAAAGGAGACGAAAAGTGGATTCGAACATTCAACCCCATAGTATTCAATATCTGACGGGTATCTTGATGGCAAACCATGACATAATAATGGACTGGTGTTAGTTTTGACAGTCAAAATGACAAACCGACGCTCATCCATCTGCTAAGCGCTTAGAAATCAGTCGAATACAAGCGATTTGAATAATATGAAACGTCTTCAATAGTAGTCAGAACTGATCTGAAGCATCATCTGTGTTGATCAGGACTATTCTTGTTTTTTGAGAAAATGCTGTCAACTCAAGCTCAGACTAGTCGAAATTCTTTAAACAGCCTATCTTGGTTGTACTAAAGTGCCTGAACAACTAGTTTAGACTGGCTCGCAATGCCAAGAAAAAGAAGTAGATTGTATAATGCAAGGAATTTTTGAGCATCTCTATTATATTTTCAAATGCTGATTAGTCAGTAGAATAATAATAATTTCGTTATTATTTTTAACTAAGAATCAACTAGTATTAAGCAGACAGATTAAAATAGTCGCTGTAAAATTGTACAAAATCTTGAGACTCAAACCTGTTTAAGTTCAATATTCAAAATCATACATTATCATCAGAAAACACGTTTTTCTCTTCATAATTGACAGTTAACTATGGTATAACATATATTGAGTATGAAAATTAGTAACAATTATTTAATTTCTTTCTATATACATGTAAATTATTATTGCCGTTACTGTTCTCTCTAACTAAAATGACAATAAGAAAAGTTCTTCAGAATTAAGGATGATGTCAAGGATTGGCAGCATATGTAACGCATTATATTCTTATATATTTGACCATATTCTCTGTGCAATTTTGTAATTTTATCTACTTCATATCAACAAGTATATTGAGTCCTTTTTCGGATAAATATTTCTAGTTTTTAATACTAAAAGTACAACATTATATGAAAACACAAAAAATCATATGAAAATACAAAGTACACTGTTCTCTGCTTAACGAGAGTTGCGTATTTGTATGTTTTTATTATTAGTTTACTTTATTTGAAGTACAAATTCTAGTGATTTAAACTAAAAATGGATTTAAAATTGCGTAATTTTAGTTTATTTTAAAGTTTAAATATCGAAAACTTAAATTAAAATAGACTTCAACTATGAGGCGAAAAAAATTAATTTTGTTGAATTTAGGCTATTTTTAATTTAGGGTGTGGATGTGGGGTTTAATCTTTTCGTCTCCATACCCACACCCAATCCATAATTTACATCCACGTTCAAACTCTGATACCTCGAAAGTAAACGAATAAATACAGCAGTCAATTCAAATCAACCTACTGTGCGATAGATAAAGAAAGCAATCATGTCTTTTTGTGAGTGCAGAAAAGTCGAACTCGCTGAAATCAAGTATTTGCATTCGCTTTTTCGTTCTCAACGATAAAAAAAGTGTATATTGATCTTCTGTCTTACCACTTCGAATTTCATAAAGAGAAAGTAACTGATTTTTCTCGTTTTTTTTAGGATTTCATTATCGGGAACTTTTTTTCTGTTGCATGTTTCGTATTTCATTGCTTGTTCCTGTTTTTATTCTGCTAAATATCGTTATTAGTTGGTTGAATTTTTTATTTTATGTTTATAGAAATAAATAGCAAAGGTATAGTGACATCTTTCATTGAAATTATGCTTTCCTTTACTAAGATAATTATATGTGTAATTCACTGGGTAGAAAGAAGTTTAATAAACATATTTTATTTGTTTCGATGATTTTAAATCTTTGCATATTTTTTGAAGAAATCCATTTATATTGATATATTTTGGAATCTATGAAAATTTGAGTCAATTTCAAAATATTTTCACCAATGTCATCAGACAGGTGATAGTTTTTTTTTGTTTAGAAAGATAATATTTAATTTACTTTCTAGAGGTAAAAAGTAAGTGAGAGTGTCACTCTACATGTCATGTAAGCATTCGATAAAAAATACTTCAATAAAAATATCACTTTTGTAAAATGCAATACACCAATAAGAAATTGAAGTCAGTAAAAATTAACTAGGTATTTTGTGTTTCTTTCTCTCAAGCATAAGGTTAAAGAGAAATGCAGTTAGTTTTTAAATGCAAGTTAAATTAAATCCAAAAAATATCTGTTCTTGTATGTGTTTGTCTATCACACGTGTTTAAAACTATTATGTCGCTGATATTAAAGTCCGTTTTTATTAACGTCTATTTACCTATGAAATAAGCTAAGAATAATAAAATATTTATTTGACTAATTGTTTTTATTGACTGACGAAGAATGAATTTCGGTCAAATTCTCTTTTTTTTATTTTTTATTTTTTTGATGCAAGGTCTTATTTTGTCTTTGAATTTTGATGTTGTTGTTTGGTGCTCTCAAGAGATAACTTCGTGAGAATAATCAGCAGAGTATTTTTGATTCTGAATACGAGTGTGACACTTTGCATCATCTTACTGATGTTTTTTCGTCGAGTTTTAGAGTTACCGTAAGAATGTTGTTTAGGTATCTTTTTGTATTGATGAGTCCTTCAACCTAACCCATCAATATTGTCACTCCTTGTTCACATGCATTTAACTACACCATTACCTTTTACAGAAATTTCGTCTTTTAATAAACAGCAACTTTCTTTTATCTCAAGGGAGTGCTTAGCAATAAAGTCAAGATTCAAAGATGAAATAAAACCTTCCATCAACACACAATTAAAAAAATAGAGAGAATTTTAATGTTTTCTATCCTATTGAGGCGTATGATTACGATCAATCAAAAAAAAGTAGAAAGCTGTATTCATTAAATAAAATATACGATTTTGTGTAGAATTTCAAGCACTATCTTTTAATAAAAATAGTATTCCAATCAAGGATTGATAAATTTTACACGCATAATTATTTCTATATCCATGTATAGTAAGATAAATGTTAGAATTTATTTTTAAATAATAGAAGACTCCCTGATACTTTAGGTCTCAGATAACTTTGTATTTGGATTCTGATATTTTCATGCTTTTTTTAAAGGCTTATTGAAACTTCTTTATACTTACACTTGCGTGTACTTCATTATTTTTATATTTATACGTCAAACCGATACGAAAGAAGGAGGTGAAGACTGCAAACCAATTCATGCCATAAATTGTCAAAAACCATATAGCATTCGATGCAGAATTTTACTGTGAGTCGTTTGATAGCAATTTTAGCTTGGTTCACTCATGTTTAGGATAATAACAGTCCACAATACCGATTTTCATTTCTTCCCTCTAAAGTTGACGTCTATATCATGAAATATCTTGATAATAACTGTGCATAGTAACATTGATATCAGACCAACTTAGTCTTGTTAGACATAGCATTCAATTCTGTATCGAGTCTTATAAGAACAGGTGTCTTTGAAACTCATATCGGTACATTCTATTGACCGTAGATATAAATGGATTAGAACTACACCTACACCCTTAAATGTAAGTTGTTCTGTTAACAGAACTAAACTCACATTTTCATTTTTTTTTTTCGTTCTTTTATAATCATGCTGGTTGATAGGGTTACTATGAAAAACAAATGATCAATAACTATTTTTTTCATTCCTTCTTCCTACTTTTACTTTCAAAATATTTATAGTTTATTTGGTTTCACTGACGTGCTGTTGAAAATTTCATTTTGATTCTCATATTAAAAATAGGTAATTCATTTTTCTTTTGAAATAAGCAAAAGATTATGTCTACAAATAATATGGAGAAGCAATTAAGACGATGTTTAAACGCTGCCATAGAAGCTGTATATGTTGTCATTAGAAAACTGTGGCCATCAGCTATATCTGAATCAAATACTTTATCCATAGATTCAGTTTTGAATGATATGAATACATTCACATTAAATATAGAAGAAGATGAAGAAATGGATAAACTTCAAAAAGAAATCGAAAGCATTTTTAATAAGCATTTACCAGTTGTATCTTCAATGTATAGAGATTATGTATTAAATTTTTTACATCAGTATGATTATGATTATAATCAACGAATTTTCAAGGATCATTTAAGTATGAGTATTATTCTTCCATTATGTCGCGGTTTTCAAAGCCTTTTAGCTTCAATGGATGCTTCTCAGGCTGCCTGGGATGGAAAACTAGAGATTGTTGAAAAGTTTATTAAAAACTATCCAACTCTAAAAGATAAACCTGGACTTTGGGGTACAACTCTTTTATATTCAGCAGCTCGAAATGGTCATATGGATGTGGTAAGGTGTCTTATTGAAAAAGCAAAATGTTCTGTTAATGCACAAAATGAACAAAATCTTGAGAAAATCTTATCAGTTGATACAAAAAGCGCTGATTATGAGATTAGATCAAGAGCAGCATCAAGTGCACTACATGGAGCATGTTATAATGGACGTTTAGAAATTGTTAAATATTTAGTTGAACATGAAGCTGATTATTTTATAAGAAATCAAGCCTTAGAAACACCACTTCTAAATATAAGACATCATGATGATATTAAACAATATTTTCGAAATTATCTTATCTTAGGTTATTCAACAACTATACGTGATCTACCAGATAAACCTATATTAGAGGAAACTATACTAAAAGTAGATTGTATTTGGGAATATAAATCACTCAATGATCGAAAATGGTGTCCATTTTCATCTAATGAATCACAAGTATTACAAAAATCTTTAATTATAGAATCTGATCAACAATTTGAATGTGAAATTCATTTAAAAACATCCAATGACATTTATACTATTTCAATGACTAAATTTCTTCGTTCAAGTACAAATCTTGATGAAAATAATTTGGCTTGGATTCGATGTTGTGGTTCATCAATATTGAATTTTGATTGCTTTTCATTATGGCAAATTATGTTTTTAACACATCCAAAAGCTAAATCGAATTCTATACCATCTTTACATGTCTCTAATATACCAACAGTAGATGATTCGACATTCGAAATAGAACTTCAATCTTGGTATAATTGTGATCCAAACACAAATTCACGATTAGATCGTGCAATGAATTATCGTCAAAAAAAGGTCGATTTAAGTTTAGATTTTATTAGTGATAAAAATTTAATATTCGATCTTCAAAAATTTTCATTTACAAATCAAAAAGGTACAATTACAGGTTTTATTCGCTGGATACCAAAATTAGTATCAAATAATGAGCAAGGTAAAGACAAAACAAAAACAATAGATAATTTTTCAGCCATGACAAATTTAAATCCAACACTTCTCACAAGAAAATACCTTGAACAAATAACTAATGCAATTGATGATAGTTTATCTAAAGATGATGAATTATTTGAAGATGAGAATGGTGATGATGCAGCGTCATTGACTTTTGCAAATGATATTGATGATGATGACGATAATGATAAAGATCATGATGTCTTATCAAAGTCAAATAAGGTAAACAGAAACTAAGCAACAGCAACAGTATTCAGATTATGAGAAAACTGAATTTATAAAACTTTCGAAAGTACAAAGTTGTTGATACAGCTTATGGAACGGTGTAGATATGTTTATGGATGTACATGAAACAATTTCTGTAAACTTCAGCCATACTCACATCACTACAGTCCTTTTTAAATATGTCAGTAAGCAAAGGCATAATAGCACCAATATCTTTTGGGGGTATGGATGTTGATGTGGATGTTAATCTTTTCTTCAAATACATCTACACTCACCCTTATAGGATGTTTGCATCCGTCTTAACTTGTTTTATCGTTGAATTTGCGCGAATTTAAGTTTAAAGTGAATACAAATATTATGCTGGTCACAATGAACTTTATGAAAAAAAAAAAGTGAAGTCCCGTACGTCAGATTATAGGTCGAGTACAAGTGGAGTACAGTCGAAGTCTAGTTGGAGTACAATGCAGTAAAGGTTAAGTAAAGATGAAATACAATGAGTACGTATTCTGCGTACTCCAGCTGAACTTCACTGCATTCCATCAAACTCCATTATGCTCCAACTAGACTCTAGCTGTACTTCATCTATACTCCGAAGTATGATGTTTTGCCTATTGGTCTAGTTTATTAATCGCAGAAAAATTCGATTAAGCTTTAACAGTCGATAATACTACTCCAACTAAAAACTCATCTTCTAGAGAAAATCTTCATAACTTTTACCTATCGTCGAAATCTTAGTTTCTGATGGTTAAAATACATTAATATGACTTAACTCATTTGTTTTTATTAACCACAATTAAACTTTAAGCAATATTTCAACTCATTAGAAGAGTTTTTTTTAATGAACATTTGAAAAAATAAACTTTTAATTTATTTTCAGACAACTACAGCATCTGATAGTGCTACATGGTGTGTCAATGATGATGCCAGTGATTGTGATGAATCTTCAATATCTACTACTAGCCATGATGAAGCTGAAGACAGACAAGATTCAAAGTTTCCAACAATGACAACAGATGATACTTCTGATGAGGTAGATGATGTTGAAATTGATGATTATCTTGATCCTCATAGTGACACTTCTCATCTATCACTATCAACAAAAATAGTGAAAGATTCAGAAACGTCAGAAAATCGTGAAATGACAGAAACAATGTTAGAAAATTTGAAAAAAGAAATGGAAAAACTCAAAAGTACCCGTGATGATGAAAGACAAAAAGCCATGCTACAATTAAACTCATCTGAAAAGAGATCACATGAACTCGAAGAAAAATTAGCTCAAACTCTTCAAAGGACTGAACAATTGAATGATGAACTTAAAAAACTGAAAGAAAAAGAAGAAAAGATAAAAGAAATAGCCAGTACTATTAAAATAATCAAATACACAAAGATTGAAAGAAGTATTTTGTATGACTTTATAATACCAAAACAAGAATTAATACTTGATTATTTACAAAGAACAATACAATTAGATAAGTTTTTTGTTGATAAAATACCAAAAATGACATTCAAAGAAAATGATAATACATTTTCATTAACTATAATCGGTATTCAAGATCATCATCAAGTATTTAAAGAAATCTTAAAAAGAATATTAACTTTATCAAATATAAAACAACGAGCTATTGAGTTTTATCAAAGATATCTTAGACGAATAATAACAACAATAAATAAAACACTCTTTCGAGTTCAACCAAACACTAAATATTGGAAACAATATAGTAAATTCTTATATGGGTTATTAAAAACAGAAAGTACTCAATATTGGGCAAAATTCAAAGATTTTATTGGACTTAAAACTTTAGAATGTAGTGAATTATTTATTCTAGGCGATTCTAGATCACCATGGGTTGAAATAAGAAAAGCAACGAATTTATTTATGACAGAAAATTCATTTATAATTGAAATTGAACGATTAAAATGTCAAGCATTAGACAAATTTATTGAACTAAATATTTCTTTTCAACGAATAAAAATTTCAATAAAACCGACGAAAGATTCAATTAAAACTCTCAAACATTTTATCGAAAAAATTAAACAAATATTCGAAGATGATCATAAATATATTGGTTACGAATTAAAAAATTTTCGTCACATTCCACAATTATTACAACGATTAATGGTTTATTATTGTTGTTTTACCATTCAATTACCTTTATATGAATCATCGATCGAATTACTAAAAACAATACAGAAGAATACAGTAATTACTATATCTACATCGACTGGTTCAGGTAAGGAAGTCACTACTAGAGTTCATCGAATTCAAAATTCCTAGAGTTCGATCTAGACTTGGTTGATTTGTACATAGACATGGCTCTAGTTGATCAAAATTTTTCTTACTCAGAGATGGATTTAGTCGAAGTAGACTTCAATATTCTAAATGACATTTTCTAAACACTTCCTCATAATGAGAGATTTCGAATCTTTTGATCTACTCAAATATGAAAAGTTTTCAGAGTGATCTTCGGTTGCCTAATTTATTGTCATTATTTTTAATTAAAAATTATAAAAATTAGACATATTTCAATATCAATACTATAATAAAACTTTCAGTTTTTTGGAAATCTTCCATTGTAGAAAGAGATTTAATCGGAATTCGATAGTTGTTCCAAAGAAAAAACTCATTAAGTCTGCTATATGAAATTTAAGTATTCAATTTTTTTTTCTGTTTAAGGAAAATCATCTTTGTTACCAGCTTTGTTATTTGCTGAGGGATATGATAAAATATTTGTAACACAACCTCGTCGTTTACCTTGCAGTTTAATTTGTGATCGTGTTAATAAAACTATGACGACTGACACAAATCCTAATAAGGAAAACTTAGCTGGATGGGCTGTTAGTGGTGATAAACATAATTCAAGAGCTAAAATTCTTTATTTAACAGATGGATTATTGAAAGAATATTTACTCAATAATGAAAACTTTATTACAAATCATACACTTACTAATAAATCTATTGTAATTTTTGTCGATGAAGTGCATGAGAGGTCGGTTAATATTGATCTTTGTTTAGCATTAATAGCTCGTATGTTAATTGATAATCGAGCAGTATCATCGAGAATCAAAGTTATTATTTCATCTGCTACACTACATCCATCTGTATCAAAACGTTTTCAAAGTATAAAAAATGTTAAATTTGCAGAATTTACAAATTCAACTATGAACACTCTATATCCTGTAAAAACGATAAAAAGACCAAATGCAAATATAATAAATATTGTACAAGAATTATATAACAAACGAGAAAGACAAGATCAAATATTATGTTTTGTTAATTCAGTTTCAGAAGTTAATCAATGTTGTCGTTTATTAGCTGATATAAGTCAAAAAACAATTGTTGCTTATCCATTAGTTCAATCTCAATCATCATCTACTCAAAAAGAATATCTTCGAAAAGGAAGTGTTTTCTTTTCAACAACAGTTGCTGAAACTTCTTTAACATTTCCATCATTAAAATATGTCATTGATACTGGTATGATTAATGTACCTATTTTTGATATTGAAGCTCAAAGAATGATATTGAAAGAAGTTTCTGCAGCTGAATCAACAATAAAACAACGTTTAGGACGTTTAGGAAGAACACAACCTGGCGAATATTATGCTTTGTATGATTTTGATCCTAAAATGAAACGATTTCCAGTACCACAAATATGTCAATCGGACTTAATTAGTATTGAATTTTCATTGCGAAAATCTCCATTGAAAAATGGATTAGATTATTTGAAACAATTTTTACCTGAACAACCAAAATCAGAAGCTATTTTTTATACTACACATGAATTAATTCGAATGCGTAAGTTATTTTCATATTTAACAAAAGAAAAAAGCCTTATGTTTTGTTATTGAAATAGAAATTAAATGAGAAATATTTTCAAATCATTATGATAAATCATTTCAATAGAATTTAAAATATTGACATGAAACATTTCACAAGAAAACACTTTTAAGTAATCAATGGATTATAGAATACTTCAAAGTACTTATAAGACATAGAATTTTTCTGTTTTTCAAAAAACGAACTTTGAATGAAGTGATAGAATTTTGAAGATTTTTTGTATTTTTGAATTTTAGTATACGTATGTATATCTATTGTAGTAGTTAAGATGTCTATATTTTCTGCAAACGAAATGATATGAAACAGAAAAAAAACCTGTATTTGTAGACCTTATAAACGTTTTCATGGAAAATAGTAAGTGTTAGTTATAAACTGAAAGTTTATGGTTCTTCTCCTTGTTACAGACCATAGCAAGTCGAAATAAATAATGAATATTAAAACAATCTGAGTGTGCATAGCCACTTACTAATAACAACAGTATTAAATTTTTGGAAATATGAAAATAAAAAATATAACGAGTGAGTAGTAACATAAAAATGTTGAGAATGTAGAAAATAAAAAGAAAACATTTACAGACAATTCATTATTATTGAGAAAGAACTATCGTCTTATAGAGATTTAATTTAGGAAGAGAATCGAATAAGAATTAATCAATTATTTTCTCTGTTGATATAATATTAGTTTCTACATTTATAATGAAGATTTATATTATAAATTACTTATTAATATTCGATTCTCTATTTTTTTATAGAAGTTTTAAAGGAAAATTCCAATGAATTAACAGCCTATGGTAAATCACTTGCTAAATTACCTGATTTTGGTTCTTTACCTATGGCACGATGTGTATTAGCTGCTCTTCGAAAGTATAATTGTGGACGTGATTTAATTTGTCTTGCATCTATTTTAAGTGTTTTAAATACAACAAATCTATTAACACAAATACCACCACGTTATAAGAGTTCTGATGGTGATTATATGACACTTTTAAATGTAATGAATGAAATTTTGTTAATTAAACAATCTGTTCCAGCAAAATCATTCATATTAGCACGTGTCTGTGAAGTGAAAGGTCTTAGTCATATAAGACATATTATTGGACAAGCATTAAGACGATATGATACTTTAGAAAAAACATTTGATCTTTCAAATGATTATCGTGAACAAGCTCAAATTCAATGTGGTAATTGGATATTTATAGCCAAAGCATTATTAGCTGGTTATTCGGACAATGTTTTTGTTTCTAAAAGAGATTTACAAGATCGAACTCATCATTTTCTACGTTATGGTAGTACAAATGATATAGCTGTTTTAGATTTAAAATCTACATTAATACAACCAATAAGTCAACCACCTGTATCTCTTGTCATAGCACGAAATATTCTTTATTTGAGTTCCGTTCGTTTAGTAGCTGTAATTTCATTCTTAGGAAAAATAAAAGCTGATTGGATTGAACATGGCGTTGAACGACATATAAAATTAAATGAACGTGAAGAAAATTTTCTTAAAGCTAATAATGGATATTCAACTGCAAGAACAATGTTTGCTAATACCGTTCAGATGGGATTAAATAATAGACTTCTTAGTTTAACTGGGACAGCTGGTGTTACACTCAATAGTGAATTATATTTGCTTCAACAATTAATTGTTCAAGAAACATTTTCTTTAGAAAATAATAATAAGAAAGATTCTACAACATATAAGAACTTATCACAAAATTTATTCAGTGTTACGAAAATGACTCAAATATTTAATCCATTGATTCGAAGATGGGCAGCTGAAAAACAAGTGACAATAACAGTAAATAATAATGCAGCCACTAAAACATGTGATATAACTGTGAAAGGACGAGATTCAGAAATTAGAAAAGTCAAAGAAGAATTCGATTCATTTTTAGGTTGGTTACAAACGTGTGCTGTTGTAAGACATCCAAATTCAGGTAGAGAAGAACTATCTTCAATGAACATTAACTAATCATATCCTTTAAAATTTATTGATATCAGGTGTTTCTCCACGTCTTCTTCGTGCTCAAATGCGTGCTAATTGTGAAGATATTGAAGAAAGAATTTCTCATATAACAGATCCCAAACGAACATATATCGATTTGTATAATAATGCTAAAGGCTCAAAAGCAACACGCGAAACACGAATGGAAGTTGTTGCTTGGATAGCTGTTTGTAAATTTAATTGTAAATTAGAAGGTGGTTTTGTTCGAGATTGGATCGTTGGAAAATATATAGCACGGCCAGCCAATGTAAATCCAAAGGATTGGATTGAATATAAGGCAAATCGTCACGGTGTAAATATTCCTTACTTGAATAGAGAAGTTGTTCCAGCTGACTTAGACTGTCATTTACCAACATACGGTTCATTTGATATTGAAAAATTTCAAGATCAACTTCATAAATTTAATATAAAGTGCAAATATTATCGAGAAGAATGGAGATATATTTTATTAATTGATGAAGGTGTTCGAACAGGACCATTTACTATGGATCTAATTGAGCCACATGTTGCATTAACTCACGACCGTATTGATTTTGATGTTAGTAATTTAGTATTGGAAAAAAATTATACACGTGACTTAGGAATGCGTATTGATATTCAACAAAAACCCTATTCAATCGAACTTGAAACAATTGTTAAGAATATCAAAAATAAACAATTCTATGTTCTTCGTAGTATTGATAATAGACTCACTGAACGTATCGAAAAAATGACAAAGATTCGTGATTGGAAACAATTAGAGCCAACATTCAATGTATTACCAAATCCACCGTTAAAAAGTAATGCACTTCTTGTACCATTACATCATACGAGTATCACATATCAAGCTCTATTAAAAGAAATGCAAAAAATCAACCCTCACATAGAAATTAAATCCATTGAGGAAATTAAAAACCCATATATGGAAGAGATCTACGAAGGTATGAAAAAAGTAATCAGTACACAACGTCCAGGATTTAATCCAAATGAACGTGAACTTTTTCATGGTACAAGTGGTGATGGAATTCAGGGAATAACAGAATATGGTTTTGATGACCGATTTTATAACTCAGCGAGTGCTTGGGGTAGGTTTTATCGTTTAGTTGTTAAATTTGACAAGATGCTAACATATTTATTTATAATCGTGAATGTTGAAATAATAAGATTAGTACAACAAATACACCTTAAAATTAAAATAAATCAAAAATTGTTTCATATGTTTAAATTATTCGGGCTAATATGTAATAATGATCTCATAGAGACAAATATCTTCCAGGAAAAAATTAGCGCTGACATATATATGATTTTATTCGCTTAATACTTTTTGATTTATTTTATAGGTCATGGTGCCTATTTTGCTGATGATACTCGAAAATCGCATGCCTACACAAATCCTCCTGCATCAGATGGATCACGCGTCATATTTTATAATAAAGTGCTCTTAGGCAATGAGTCAATCTATACGGCCGTCGATAACTCATTGGTATCTGCACCGAAAGGTTATCATTCAGTCACAGGAACGGCATTTACTTATAAAGAATATATAGTTTATCGTTATGGCCAGGCAAGACCTTATTTAAAAATCACTTATAAACCTTAACTCACTAAAAAAAAATAATTATTCAAGAAAACCATTCCAGTCTTTTGAAATTATAAACAGACTTAGAACATGATCATATTCGAACATTCAATATTTTCTTATTGTCTTTTACAAACTACATTTAGACAACGTATAATTGCTTGTGCGTATGGGTATGGGATGTGAGTATGTGGGTATTGGTACGGAGTGCAGGTGTGAGTGGGTGTACGTGTGAGTAGAACACTCTTCAACCTAGCCGCACCCATATACCAACACACACACCCACACTCTAAACGAAACAAGATGAATCTATTCGCTTTCTTCCAATATGACGCTCGACAATTATTGGATAACTAAATGAGAAAAAAAGAAGCTAAAGTCACCATTATGATCCTAATGTTCTAATAAAATACACCATACCTAACACGGTGACTAAAGAAAGAAAACAATGTGGAATTAGTTTTTTGATTAGTTTTCCATTATAAAATGCGCTACAGCTATCAGGGTAACCGCACAAAGTGAAGCTTTCGATACATTAGAAGATCTCCTATGTTAGAAGACCTTCCCATAATAGAAGACCCTCCTTGGATAAATGAAGCAGCAGACATTTTAAAAGATCCACTCTAAGAATCGATTTTTTAAAAATAATTGCTGCAATTTATTAATTTTTTCAATATTTATATCCATAATAATATCTAAGTTCAGCATGGAATATACTTAGATTCCGTCGTTATTGAGACATTTCAGTTCTGAGTTAAGAGACAGTCCTTGGCTGAATCGAGCATTTGTAATATAGGCTGTCAGACAAAAAAAATTTTGACATAGGCTTTTTATTATTCAAAATGAAAGAGCATCGTAGAAAACCTATAAATCCAAAATTTTAGCCTTCTCTGAATGACCATTCAGTAATGGTGAAGAAAACATTTGGTACGGGTCAGTGGAGCTCCTTTTGATTTTTTCGCCTGTTGTGATTTCCAGTATTTAATTATTTTTTTGCTATATATCAAGCAAATTGAATCGAACAATATCTCAAAAGATAGAGCAAGTTTTGCTCTATAAAACTGTATATGTGAACTTTCTCTAATTGATTGCTGAATATGACTTTGAGGATCAATACCCATGTACACTGCAAAAGAAACCATCTACCAATTTCCATGGATTCGATAGAGCGAAGAAAGTTCCACAAGATATATGCAAAAAAGCATTCAAAAAATATGCGCATAGTACGCGAAATGAGACGAGAAGATGAAAAAGTGGCACCTAAAAACAGCTCACTTTCTGATGGATTCGATACATGACAGTTTCAACGTGAACAGCTAAGCCATTAACTACATATTGTATCTACTAGAAATATTAGTTTTAGACAGCATGATATAGGTATATAATCTATAAGAATGAGCCATTTCTTCTCTATGTTGATATGCTCGAGTCAATATTCTACCACTAATTACCATTCGGAGTGAAGGTTTAAATCAACCAGTTGAATTACCTTATAGAAAGAAGATTTCTTTGATTTATCTTCACTCAGAGTATGCTTTCAGGATGAACTAGGGTGTGGGTGGGTGTGGGTCTTCTCCTACCGAGACACCCACATCCACTATGAACGACAAGAAAAAGTTTTATTCGAACAATCAAAATTCTTCACTTGAGTGCAATTATTCACCAGACCATGTACATTTCCAAGATCACTGTAGATTATCTTTCTAATTGGATGTATGAATGCGCTGTACTATCGATAGTAGAAACTCTTTATAATTAGTATGCAGCTGTCTATCAACCTTCAATGCGAGCAATACGTAGATCGATTCATATGCAACCCATTATTTAATTATTAGTAGATGTCGGATTTGATTTCAAAATAAAATTATCGCGTTTTCTACTTCCTTTATTCTCGTCATTATTAATTTTTCATCCACTTGGTTTTTTCCTTCTCTTCTACTATCTTATATAGATCTTACCTGCAACGTATATATATATATATATCGATTTATAAATGCACCCCATCACAAATCCCTATATAATCAGATTATTATGACACTTTCGTATAAAAAAATCTTTTGCTGTGGAATAGATCGTTCTAGAAACAGATATTGTATTGAATGTATTTAATAATGAAAATATTTGCTTTAGAAAGATTCTAAAACACAACGACTTTTTGTGAAGTAAACAACATAATAAAAAAATTGTGAAAGAGAATTTTAATCTAGAATAATTTTGAACTTGTAGAAATTTTCTTCTTAAATAAAAATTATGGACTTTGTTTTACTTTGAAAAATTAAAAATAATATTGAGCAATAATTGTTAATCAGGAATAATAATTTATATTTTCAGATAATATTTAAACAAACAATATTCATCCATGATAATTTCCTACTAAACTTTTCTCTCTTCTTGATTGTTTATTGTTGAAAATGCTCGTCCGTACGATTTCAAACAAAAAAGAATACTTATAATTGTACTGACGAGGTAAACGTTTGAATCGATAAATCTTTTCTGAGTTGGGTGTGAGTGTGAGTATTAATTAATCTTGATCGACAACTAGACGCATACCCGCAGCCACACCGACACTTCACATATCTACACTCAAGTTTCGGATGAGTCACTGTTCTCTAGCACATTGTAAAACATTGTGTAGAGCGTGTTACAGCGAAGAACACTAGATACGTGGCTAAATATAGGTAAGTTCTGCTTCACACGTCATCAAATATTATTTACTTCGACTATTTCACTGGTTAAATAAAAGTTTATACTACAGAACGTTAGTGATCTTATATATGATAAAAGCTTGTATTTAGACAAACTTTGTTTTCATACTTGAGAAAAGATAAAAAGAAAATGGCTACAGTAAGAATAACTGAAAGTTGTTTTGGTGTAACAAAAAATGGAAATGTAATAAAAAAGTACATAATAAATAGTTTTCAATGAATTTTTTCTATGTACAATACTTATATTTAAATATACACTTTCAACAGCAGATGGTTTTGAAGTTGCTTTAATTAATTACGGTGCAACTATTCAATCCATTCGACAACCAGATAAACAAAATAAAGTCACAGAAATTACACTTGGTTATGATACTCTTCAAGGTAAACTTTATCAAAAGGAAAAATATAATTCTTATGATGAATTGTTTATTACTTTCTATATCATTGTAGAATATATTGATGATACATATTTTTTTGGTTGTACAGTTGGTCGAGTAACAAATCGAATAAAAAACGGTCGTTTTGAATTAGATGGAACTACTTATGAATTATCTAAGAATGATGGTACAAAAAAACATTATTTACATGGTAGTTTTAATAAACGTGTATGGGATAGTTCAACAGAAAATGATGATACTGTTGTCTTTAAATACCGAAGTCCACATGGTAACCATTTTACATTTGAAATTTAAATTTAAGAAAGAAAACTTGTCTTATTTCGAAAACAAAAGGTGAAGATGGATTTCCAGGAGAAGTTGATGTTATCGTCAAATATGTACTGACAAGTGATCATAGACTAACACTTGATTTTCATGCAACGACAAAAAAACCAACACCAATAAATATGACAAATCATGTTTATTTTAATCTTGCTGGACATGTAAATAATAATGTTCGTTATATATTCTAAATATAATACAATCTTTGTTGTATTTTAGTCAAATGGATCTATACTTGATCATCAACTAATCGTACCAGCTAGTAAATTCCTTCCAGCAGATGAAGAATTTATTACTACAGGTACATTACTGACAATATTTCTGATTAATCTTACTTTGTCTTCAGGAGAAATAAGATCAGTAGAGAATACTTCATATGATTTTCAAACATTAACACGTATTAGTGATCGTATTAATGTATCAGTTGATGGTTACGCTATGATGTTTATCATTGATGGTGAAGGAAAGCGTCCATTTGGCAAGTGAGCGTAGTTTTTTTTAAAATCAATTCATGGTAACTCTTTTGTTTTCTTGTACTTATTCATCATTAGACTTGTTCATGAGCCAAGCGGTCGAGCAATAACTGTTGAATCAACACAAAAAGGTCTTCAATTTTATACAGGAGATTTTCTTGATGGTAGCAAAGGACATGATGGAGTAGCATATAAAAAGCATGGCGCATTGTGTTTAGAAACTCAGAATTTTAATGATAGTGTCAATAATCAAGTAAATCTAATTTTTAATATAGATAAATCAACTTTATACTTCCTCTTTGTTGCTCAGCCTTTATTTCCAAGTATTATTCTTCGTCCTGGTGAAGAATATCATGAACAAACAACTTTTCATTTTCATTTGGAATAATCCATTCATTTGAATATTATAGAACAAATGAAACTATCATTATGAATGAATTTAACATTGGGATCAAATTCATTTTTTCTTAATTGCTGATTATGCATTAATTGAAAGCTAGATATAGATTATCGAATTTCAAAGTCTTTTTTTTTAAATAAAACTTTATGCTGATTTTATGATACGAGTTGTTTGAATCGAATAGAAAATATATGAAATTTATTTTATTTGAATGAAATTCAGAAAAAAAACGGATTTTAATTTTTAGGGGATTGAAAACTCTCGAATACACTTCATCAAGGAAAACATATCACAGATATAACAACGATCTAAGGATTAAAGCGTAAGGTATACCTGATATTGTTTTTGGACGACTTGATCGAATTACAGGCAAATTTTTCATGTCAATCATTCATATGTTAAAATAAAATGCGAACTCCGCAGCAGATCAACAGTTTGAAAAGAGTGTGGGTTTAAATGTTCACTTAGTCTACACTCATACCAACCCTAGGAACCAGTGCTATAAAAACCCACTGGATCTAGGAACTAGTTTCGAAAAGGGGTGTGGGTGTGGGTGTTTTCCTCTTTATACTGACACCCACACCCGTAAATATCATTCAATGATTTGAAAGGAGGGGTAAACAAACCTTTTGAAGTAGAGAGACAGTTTTTTTCCTGTTTGTCAATCATCAGAAGAAAACATTTTATGACAGAATGGATGTTTTTTCCCTCCCATCGAGCAAAAAAATCTACAACATTTAGATGATGATTCTTACTTCTTTTTTTGTAATTCTTCAAACTACTTCTACCTGCTCGCTTATTTTTTAACGACAAAAACTAAAAAAACAAGTAGTGTATGACTCATGACACCAAAAAAGATCATCTATGTTAAAGTGATGTGTTATATGTAGTTGCCGCAATGGATACTTGCACAACACTATTCAACCATTTGAAATAACAAACACATTGATTGATTATTTTTTAGAGAACTATTCGCATTGTGTAATTACTAAGCTTGACAAAAACTAAACACATGTGATTTCAGTATTCTACATCATACCGAAATTGAATAAGCGGCGTACTTCGATAAATCTTCAATTATGTCTATTTCTATTGTACTCTCTTTTTTTCTGAGTATTTCCTGGTATAAAATCCACTGGGAAAAAGTCTCTCATTGGAGAAAATATGAAATGATTCATGTAAGAGTCGACACAATTATATCGAGCGAAATGACTTATTCGAATTTTTCCCAGTATATGATATGTTCTCTAAAACAATACAAATAATGACATAATTGGATTTGTTTTATGCTATCCGATTCGTGCTAATAAAAAAAAACAAATGTGTCACGATACGAAGTATAAGCTGTGACTCAAATTCAAGCGATGAAAACGAACTATTTCATTATGAGTCATCAACATCAACAAGAGTACGCCTACAAGTTGGATGATGCAATAACTTTATTGCATTGCATTGATATATAACGTCTACCATACCTTTACTTTCTTTCTATTTACTTTCGCTTTCACAACTGTTGTTGTTACAAAAAAACTAAAATAAAACATGCTACCCACTACTCAATCTGGATCATCAGGAAATACTGTTGATGATTGTACAATATGCTTGAGTGCTCTTGCACAAGGCACTCCTCTTTTGACATTGTCCTGTAGTCACAAATTTCATTTTCAATGTCTAGCATCGAACATTAAAGCAAAAAATAAAGAGTGTCCTTTATGTCGTGCTGCTGTTGAGGATTCGATTATTCAATTATTAGGAGGTCCTACTCAACTACCATTGCAACAACAACAACAAAACCCATTCGGATTTCAAATTCCAAGTCCAACTCCACCTCCTATAGTAAGTGTGAGTAGTTAAATGTTTGTTAATTCCTATTTTCGCAGAATCAATGCATAACCCAAGAAAAAAATCCGAATCCAATATGATTGATTCTATTATAGCATTTTATTATAATTAATTAGTTTATTACTGCACCGGTTGATCACAGTTTGAGTTGAGAAATTATGAATGTGACTGAAAGTGTGGGTTTCATTCTCTTTTCACATTAACGCACAATGTGGAAACTGACTGTTGAGATTGCCAACTCAGATAGTAATCACTCGATTTATTAATAAAATAATTTATTTCAATAAAATGTTGCAAATAGAATAAAGCATATTCGATCTGAATTTTCTTCGGTTACGAATTCATTCGATGATATTGGTATCAATGAAAATAACTTGAACCAAATGTTTCACTATCCTACAGGGTGTCCCATAAATAACGCCCCGATAAGAAAGTTAGATATCTTCACCAGATGTCGACCAAACGAGGTGAAATTTTTGATCAGTGATAGAGGCGTATTCAAAGTTTGTATTCATAAAAACATGCTTAGAGAGATCCTTTTCTTAAGTATCACTGTTGACTTCAACACAAAAATGTTACTGTTTCATAGATAAGAAAAGACACAATATACTTAACAAAGAATTTCTCCAAGCACGTCTTTATGAATGTAAAGCTTGGACGTGCCTCTATCATCGATAAAAAGCCCAGCTCGTTTTGTCGACATCTGGCGGAGATATATAAATTTCTTATCGGGGCGTCATTTATGGGACGCCCTGTATGTGAATATAATTAAATATGACGAAATAACTTAATGCTGACAATATTTTACAGATTGTTCCCTCGGTCGAAGATTTGGTCGATGAGGTTGCTGTACGAGAACTTTGCGATCGTCTCGCTTCTGCTCGTCAGGTTGCAATTAATTCAATTAATAATACTGGCAATCTTCCATTGATAACTGCTACAACAACATTAGAATATGGAGCTCAAGTCTCGTATGAAGAATCAAATATTTACGGTCTTGTTACTCTTCAAGCACCAACTATTATCTTACCAGCAGAAGCCGGATCGCTAGTTTCGTCTCGTGTTCCAATTGATCTTGTTTGTGTTGTTGATCAAAGTGGATCGATGTCAGGTGATAAAATAGCCTTATTGAAACAAACCTTGATCTATATTGTCGAACAAATGAATGAATTCGATCGATTAGCTATTATTTCATTCAATACTACAGCTTTCGATCGTTCACATGGTCTCAGACGAATGAATCAACAAAAGTAAGTAATCCATTTTGCCACTTGTGAGTGAAAATTGCTAAGATCTGATATAGAAAGAGGATACACTATAGTGTCACGAGTAGAGTTCCAAGTTTCTTTTATCTACAGCGTGGTTTATGTTTCTGTAACATTCTATTATAAAAACAACTAATCGAAGAATTGTCGAAAATATATTATCTGTAGAACTTAACATCATATAAATACTCGTGACACTATTAACTATTTCACTTAAATTGTGTTGTCAAAAATTGCAAACAATATCATAAGACAAATGATAATAAACAGAATTTCTAAACAAAACAAACGATGTATATTTCATCTGTGACTAAATAAGCTATTTCAATCTACTTGCTGGTAAGAACTACTAAAGAAAAAGTCGAATGTTAGAAAATAGAAAAAAAACTAACGAATTGAAATTGTTTCATAGATTATATATCTCATTTTTAATGTTCGATGGCATATGCAAAACATTTATGAACTTATTTTGTATTTATCGGATTAAAAATAAAAAAAACTTAACATGATTCAAAAAAAAAATACTCATAAATTTCGATTAAAAAAGTTATTTCGTGCATCACATTTAGAGTATGGATTGCGTTTTCGAATGCTATATAATAAAATGTTTTTTTTATATGTACTCTATCTGTATAAAGCAGCAGATAGATTGAGCACAAAAGAGTACAAAAACATTTTACAAAAAAACCCGCGACGTGTATCACAATGCATCGATATGAAATGTTCAGAAAATATTGACTATAGATTTCCATTGAAGCAATTTCACTATTCATCCATTTTATTTTTAAGACTATCGTATTTTAACTGAGAAACAACTTACATACTTTTCGTTCACATTCGAGAGAATTGTTTTTCCAGATTCTATTAAAAAACAATGCAATAGTAAGACATTTCTCGACGTTTTGTTTTAGTAAACAGACCTTGACTAATGCGATTAATACTGATATAACAGATGGAGGCGGTACTTATATCGGAAGTGGATTGCAAATGGGCATCAACTTGTTAACTAGTCGCCAAACAAAAAATCCATTGAATGCTATACTTTTGCTTACTGATGGTCAAGACAATGACACTCATGATTACACACAACTAATGCAAACTTTACCCAGTAGTGTTCAATGTCACACTTTTGGTTATGGGCCTGATCATACAGCCTCATTATTAGTACAACTCGCCGAGCAAGGAAATGGAGGAACATTCACTTATATTGTAAGTTGACATTGACTATCTTATGTTCAGATTATCAAGACTAATTGTGTATTCGTAAATCTTTTCAATAGGATGAACAACATGCCATAGGTCCTGCATTCGCGATGGCTCTCGGTGGTCTATTCACATGTATTGCACAAGAAGTTCATATCAATATTGAATTCATCGGAGATTATAAGATCACTCATGTTCATTCGAAATATAAATATGAGCCTGAGCAATTACCTTCACCAAAACTTGATGTTAAATTACATGATTTGAATTCCGAGGAGAAGCGAAATTTTGTTTTTCAACTACACGTACCAAAATTGAACAATAATGAACAAAATGTTGATATGACTAGTCAAGAACCGATGTCATTGACACAATCTTCAGAAGAAATACAACTATTTGAAAATCAAATCATTGGTAAATATCAGCAAGAACCGATTTCTTTCTTGAATCGAACATTATCATTATTGTTAAATTGGTTTTTCTTTGACTAGGTAATGTGACCGTCACCTACATTGATCCGAATACTCGTCGCACAATAAAAACTGATCCAGTTTCTTTCAATTTAGTTCGAGATTCTCATCCTCCAACAGATCTGTTTCGTGTCAATCATGAACTTGATATTCAACGAAATCGTGTAGAAACCACACATGCACTCGCACAAGCAATGGCTGAATATGATTACCGGAAATCACGTGCTATTCTCCAAGCTCAAGTAAACAAGATCAAGGCTAGTGCATCTGCACAAGATCCATTCTGTCAAAAGTTAATTCAAGATCTTGAATATCGCTATCCATCAGAACTTGCCTATCGATCATCACACCACAATTATTATAGGTGTCAAGTAACGGAACGAGGCACATACGTGCCCTCAAGCACTACTAGCACACGGCAGTATATTAGTACTACACAGCAACAAATGGCTTATAATTTCCAAAATAAAAACTCTTCATAGAATTTACAACAGTACTTTTGATTCTAATATTTTCATTTTTTATGTTTGCATTAAAATAATTTAGACAACATAATTAATGGCGTTTTATAATCTGCAGCCATCATTCTGTATACTAAGATCATAAATTATAGTTTTTATTATGAGCTGATCCTTTTCGTTTATTCGATCAGTTGAGTTAATTTCTTCTTATAAAGTGTTGCGCATAGTCCTACTCTATACTTTCATTATGGGACTTAATTCCTCACATCGATTTTTTTATTAGATATCTTTGAGAATTGCTCAAGGATGATATATACATTCTATTCGATAATATGTACATCGAAGATATTGGTGAGTTGATCCGTTCTCATGCAAACCGTCCGACCCGTAACCCAATCCGTAGCCTGCGAGCGGGTTGGACCTCTGACGGATCACGAGTTAATGGACAAGGTGTTTTTGCGTTTTACGAGTCGGGTTATATTTTCTCACGTACGTGTGGATTCCACTCGGTTTAACCCGTTTGCAAATTTCGTATTGCATTCTTTTCATCTTTCATTCTTACCTTCAACATAGGTTCATATTCATTATTCTTATGCACCTTTTGCAAAGTAATGATTCTGAAGATTGAAAAACTGCTTGACAGTTAAAGATCTATTCTCGTTGTGTCAAATTAAATTCAGTATATTCAATATAGTTTTAAGTGAGAACTGGGTGGCTGTCTTATTATCTCACCTTCTTCACCACTCGTATGTTTTCTTTCTGATGTTTTCAAGTGTTCTTAAAGCGGAAGACTTTGTTCTTATTGTACTTCTCCTTTTTTTCGATCTTCAGCTTTGCAAAAGGAACTATTACATTTTAGAATAGAATATGGAGGTCTTGATAGAACGTATTTGACGTATATACTATAAAATTACATATATATATATAGAATAATACAGATTTTAACTTTTAAGTAGAAGAAAACAACAAGTTGAGTCTGCTGTATTTGTTACGAAAAATAAATTACAAGATTGCTCTTAATCGTATTCGAATTGGTCGTGAATAATTTCAACTATGTTTATTGGTTTATTTATCATTTGTACAGTGTTTTACATTCTTTACGAAAAGAAGTTAGGTATTATATTACCTCAGATAGTATTTCAATGGTTTGGCTATACTATTACAGTAACACATTCGTTATATGTGACAATTGCTATTATATCATTCTTTTGTTTTTTACTGGGTACTCGACGTGTATTAGGGTATGGGTGTTGGTGTTGGTATGCACTTGTGTGAGTACGAATGTGTACTTTGACTATGATGCGAATGTAGGGTATGGCTGAAGCTGTGAGGAATAGTATCAACTTCTGCTTCCGTTCTGGGAAACCCGGAGTCGGGGACTGGTTTGGTTCTGAGGAACTCAAAAGCCTGAATAGGTTCGGTTTTCAGGAAGCCAGAATTCGGTGGTGATTCGACACGCAGGATCCCGGTAAAAATTCACATTCCAAAGTTCGGGAACGTGAGCTACGTTGCCTGTTCTGAGTTTCTAGAAATCCAAAACGCGTAGCATTCCTGAGAGTCCGAATTCTGGGAACTCATAGTGATTCAACAGAGATTGAAAGAATAGGTTTATAGAATATGCAGGTTCATATGTTTAAATATTATCAAAAGCCTACAGAAATGAATCTTCGAGTGGGCTCCGTTCACAAGGAAATGTATCCCAGGGAACGGTTAACCATAAGACCTCTAGTTGTAGTGTGACTGTAGGTGTAAGCTTTGGCTGTGGATGTGAGGTGAAGTCGCAGATGTGATTGTAATGTTTTGGTGTGACTGGTTGTGACTTCGAGTGTAGGATTGGTTTTTGGGAGTCGGCGTGATGTATGGATGTAACGACGTTGAATGTTGTGCCGATATATGCATCACGGCTCGCTGCTCTTCCTCTTTCTCTCTCTATTGTTCTCTATATGTCGTCTCTCTCCCTTTATTTCTGTATCATATATTAGCGTGTGTTGAATGTGCAATAGACGCACTCTGGATATGTGAAGTAGCTAATAAACATCATTGCCGAGTAGCGGCTAGCTACTCCTTCCAGTCTGTCATGACATCTCGCTCATTTTTGTCGTTACAAATGTAACTGGACATAAGTGTAGGTGTGGGTATGGTTGCATGTGGGTTCAAGTGTGAGACTTTGGCATGTGTTTAAGTATGATGTTCGAGTTGGGCGTGGACAGAGATGTGCAAATATAAGTACAAATTGTACTCCGAAAATAACATACTGCACCAGGCATGTAGGGTGTGGGTGTGGAATGTGGGCGTGGGTGGGTGTGGGTGTGGGAGTATTGTGTGGGAGCGTGGAGTATGAATAAGGGTGTGGATGTGGCGTGTGGGAGTATGGATTGTGAATGTGGGTGTGGATGTGGGTGTCTTCTCCCACGATCATATCCACGCTTACACCCACCCACACCCACACCCACACCCGCCACCCTCGTTTAACTCTCTCTTCTTTTTGTTCTGCCAGTTATTCTGAACATAACAGTATCGTTCATTAAAAATGAAATATTTTCTTTCAAGTCTTTTCTCCTGTTCTTCAGTATTTTATTGTGATTGTAATTCAGTATTCATTTGGAGGAAAAAGCAGATATTTTCGTTTAGGTTTTCTTTCTTCTTACTCAGTTAGATATTCTGATCTTCATCGAACACTTTTACGATAAAAAGAATTAATATTTTGTGAAATACAATCTGAAAGGAGTGTTGAGGTGTGTTGGGTAGAGATTTTGGATCCACTCTCCCAGCCCTCATACAGACCGTGACGGAGAATCCTCAGAGAAACTCCACATCCATCATAGACCATGACAGAGAAGCTCCAAACCTATCACGTACCGTGACTGAGGAACTCCAGAAACCATCACAGACCGTGACAGATGACACTAAGAAACCATCACCGATAGTGGCAGAGAGCCTCCAGACGCCACCACAGACTGCAACAAAGAATTCCCAGAGACTATTATAGACCGTGACAGAGAGCCTTCAGATACCACCACAGACCGTGACAGAGAATCTTCAAACCCATCATAGACTGTTACAGAGAAACTCTAGTTCTGAAGCATGAAATAAACAATAGACTACAAATCTATCGCAAAGAATTGGAAGAAAACGAAGTCCATTTAATTATTAACAATAGGTGCACCGTGTTTCACATTTTTAATCCCGCAAGGGATTGCCGTAACAAATTTTTCTTTTAGCATTCTATCTTCTTTTTAGTTCTTTAATCTCCTCTTCTTCGAATGCTTAGTATCAGAAACGGAATAAAATATGTTGGTTTGGGCCTTTGTCCATCATCTGAGTTAGATATTTTGACAAGGGGGAAACGGCGGACTTGAAGTAGAAAAGTACGTCAAAGTACGTCAAAGTAGACTACTTGAAGTAGCTCAAAGTACCACCCAGGTAGCCCAAAGTAGGAACAAGTAACTTAAAGTAACTTCAAGTAACTTCAGGTAAATTTGAAGTTGAAAAATACTTCAAAGTAAGCTACTTCAAGTAGCTGAAAGTAACTTGAAGTAGCTTAAAGTAACTTGAAGTAGCTTAAAGTAGCTCAAAGTAACTTCAAGTCCAAAAGTCCGCCGTTTCCCCCTTGTATTTTGATCATAATGATTGTCTTTCGTGACAAATGGAGGATAAAATGTTTTCGTTTTTTTCATTACCCATCTCCTTTAGTTTCTACTGGTAACCATAAGTGGGTATCTGAGTTGACAAAAAGAATCAAGTTTATTCGTTTAAATATTTTCACTTCTTTTATTAATTATTCTGGTATTTATTGAGCATCTGCAGCGAAAAAGAGCCGAGTGTTTTTTAAAATGTTTTACTTCTTCTTTAGTTACTGATTGTGATTATGATTGACTATCTATTATGGCAACGAGTAATTCGTATTCTCTTTTAAATCTTCTTTTTCGTTCTTCAAACTACGTAGTTATTGTTATCTTCATTGCGTATCTCTCTTGAGAAAGAGAACCCAATATATTCGTTTGAATCTTTTCGTTTTTACTTCAAATCGTTAGTCTGATTCTCCTTGGGTATCTTTTGTGAGGAAGGTAATAAAATATATTTGTTTAAGTCTTTTTCCTTCTTCTTTAGCTACTCTTAGTGATCATAACTGACGAGGGGACATACCCAACTGTCCCCTCGCTTTTGAATTGGGTATATGCCCAAACGATAGATCTCAATGAGTTATTAAACACCCTTCAAGGGTTTGATTTTCCAGGCCTCCTGAGCAGAGATATACAATTATCACTGTTACTAATATCGGCCCCAGAGGGAAGGTTTTCTCCACTATTGTGAGGGCAAAACATAGTGTTGTTCGGACCCTCTTTCATATGGCCCGAACAACACCATGTTTTGCCCTTATAATAGTAGAGGGAACTTTTTCTATAGCTCATAGAAAACGATATTTTCTATAAATCACCAAAGAATTCGCTCTACTATTATAAAGAGAAAACATGGTACCGCTCGGGCTATATGAAAGAGGGTCACTAAAAAACCCATAATCGATCCGAACAACACTATGTTTTTTCCTTACAATAGTGGAGAAAACCTTCCCTCTGGCGCCAATATTAGTAACAGTGATAATTGTATATCTCTGCTCAGGAGGCCTGGAAGACCAAACCCTTGGAGGGTGTTTAATAACTCAATGAGGTTTATCGTTTGGGCATATACCCAATTTAAAAGCGAGGGGACAGTTGAGGATGTTCCCTTATGAGTATATATTGTGAGAAAGAGAACTATGTATTTTTATTTACATATTTTCTCTGCTTTCTTTACAGTTAGTTAGTCTGATATCCCTTAAGTATCTATTCTGTGAAAGAGAAGGCCATATGAAGTGAACCAAAGTTGGCGCTATCTAAACTAGAGTCCAAAATCTATATTTTACCATTTTTACTATATAACACAGAAAGTCATCGATGCACACCAATAATATATATAATTGTTAAACAAGTCTTTATTAATTAATTGGTACTCATCTTAATTACTACTAATTATGTGAGTACTCAACTAATTAGCGCTAATTAGTCTAGTACTAATTATAGTAAGCACTCTCCTATATTCCAGAGGTATCTTTAGGTCCTCAAGTCCTGTATAATGGAGGTACCTTTAGGTCCTCATGTCCTATATAATGGAAGCATCGTTAGGTCCTCAAGTTCTATATAATGGAAGCATCGTTAGGTCCTCAAGTCCTGTATTCTAGAAGTACACTTGGATCCCGAAGTCTTATATTCCAGAGGTACCCTTAGGATCTCAAGTCCTATGTGCCAGAGATACCCTTGGGCCCTTAGGTCCTATATTCTAGATGCACAGTTAGGTCCTTAAGTCCTTTTTTCTAGAGATACCCTTGGGTCCTCATCTCCTATATTCTAGAGGTACTCTTAAGTCTTCAAATTCTATATGAGGGAGGTACCCTTGAGCCCTCATCTCTTATATTCCAGTGGTACACGTATTTCTTCATCTCTTCGTGGAATTGTTCTTACATCCTTGGTATGACATGTTTACATACATAGCATAAGAAGATAGGAGTCATTTTACGTTTTGGTTCTCCTTTGCTCTTTACATGCATGTGTTGTTATTTATGGTTAACTCTTTCTTTCTGTATGTTTGGCATTTTTCTTATGTTTTTTTTGGTTTCTCCTTATACTATCTTTTTGTTCTTGCTGTAATACGTCTTGTATTTTTTCAACGGTGCTATATTTGATTTTTACCTTTTGCTTGACATCCGATATAAATATCCGTTCTTTTCTACGTGAAGAGTCAGTCGGGCGTAAGGGTCTAGTTGTGGAGTAATAAACATTACAAATAAACATAAACACAATGGCTTGTTTATCGCATCTAAAAGTCCTCAATACTGGTGATATAGAAGTGCATTAGGTCCTTATCTCTTATTACATAAAAGTACCCTGAGACTCTTCTTTCCTATTATATGTGAGTATCGTTGGATCCTCATCGGCCACTAAATGGAGGTAATCTGAGGTCTTTAAGTGTTATTAAATAAAAATACTCTTAGATAAGGAGAATCCTATA